TACATAAAATATCATGGCTGGGATCATCGCCCCCCTAGGAAAAATCCCTAGCTTAATACGCAAGTATGTCAGCAACCTATAAAATATTTTGAGTATTTCTTGAGTAAGATCCAACTTTGACAAGTGATCCCTCTCCATTGCCATTACAACCAGTTGCTGAATAGTTACGTTCCTGAGCTACGATTTCTTACGGCGTCCAATGCGCATTTTTCCGTCCATTAATCAAGTTTTGTACCACAATAAAATAATCTATTAATAACATGATAATTACTCGATGTAGGTGAAACAAAAGTGATTCCGGTTTTCTATGTATAAAGTCACGTTGCAACGTTCCCGTGTGGAGCTGAGCGGACTCCACGTGACTTATAGGTTTCCGCATCTCGCTAATATTCAATCGAGGCCGCACAGTGTTTTCAAGTGTCGCGTGTTGTCTGTACTTAACATACCAAACCTATTGTTGTTGATGACTATTTTGCTAATTAATTCATCACCCTAGGCAGAAGCCTGTCCAAAAGAACCATGGCCTAATTGTCTAATTTTTAAAATCTATCACAATTATTTTCATTTTATATGGAATTGTGTAATTTATAGTCACAATTGCTTTCGGGACGAACAATGATTTGAATGATAAAGACTCTCTAAAGTCTTTATTATGAAAAAGTCCCTCAGGCGCAGCGTCAACATACATAAAATGCAACGTTAACAACATACATAAAGACTGCAGTTAGTATTCAACATTTTCATTTTACATTACCCAATAGCTTTCAAAAGTATTTGTAAATATCAATTTGCTTAGAAAATTCTGAATCAAACGTCAAATGAAGTTATCGTTCATTCAATATCTTCCAAAAAAATGATGCAAGCGCAATGAGGAAGTATTTTAAGAAAAAAAAACGCTAATAAGCACTTCACTAGATGGCGCCTCTAGCAAAAATTGATTTTTTGCAGGAAACGTATGGATCAAAGATAGCCATTTCTGTTCCTTTTCCTTTTTTCAATTTTTTAATATGTTCCTTAACATATTAAAAAATTGAAATTTGAAAAGTTCGAAAATTAGATCATTGCTTTCACAAGACAAAAAGTTGTAGTGTGAAGATCGCGATTGTTTTTCAAATGTCAAATTGATTTATGAAAGATTTTTTAAACTATTAGGTAATATCGATATTTTCCGATATGTTTATATACTGGAATATGGATTTGGTTGATGAACTTTCTGCGACATTTTGAGAAATTGACGGATTTTCGCCTTTTGGTGTCAATTTTATGGAGCAAAGCGTGAATAGGTTTGATTCGCTACCAATTAAATTACGTACTTACCTCTATATTCCTTGTCAAAAATTGTGACATGTTGCTAACCAGATACTGACCTAACTCCTAATCATCATCAACATATTAGCGTCTCCACTGTTGGTGCACAGGCTTCCCTGTAGAGGAAATCAGCGGCTCAGTGCGGATTGGTGGGTGTTAGCAATTGCAGATGCCAGCCGGTAACGTGTCTATCGGAGCACAACATAGACAGAGATAACAATGTTTGGTCACCTATGACCGGCATTTGCGAAATTTGGTTAACAACCGTTTCGAAGAATACTTAACACTGCAATATATAGCTCTTAGCCTGCCTAGATTAGACTACCCAAAATCTAATCGAATATCATCGACCTGCTCTGCACAAGACATAACACTACACTATTTCGCTCTCGGAATTACCATAACAGGTTATTCCCAGTCTTCCAAACGGTACGCCGTTTGGTAGGAGTCAAAATTATTAGAACCAAATTATTATAGTACAGATCAACAAAGTCAATTAAATTCAAATAACGGCCTTGCCCGTACTTTTGATCAAGTAAAGTAAGTTATAAAAACAAAATTCATTCAATCGGAGGTATGAGAAAAGTATTCCCGTTCCTCCTACCAAAATATTTATCGGAGGATAAGGAAAAAAAATCCTACTTTTACCAATCGGATTACCGATCGGAGGACTGATAATAGAACACCATCACCTCTCCATCGTGGACATTAACAGTCTCGTAATAAGAGACATAAATAGTTAGTACTTGCTTTATGATAAGACTTTAGGGTCTTATCTAAACCTAGCAGCACAGTGTCGCCCTATCTTTTTGTGTTGCTTATGACCGCCATTTGCTAGAGCGAGAAAGATATATAGCTTACTGTCTATTAATTAACAAAAATATTTCTTTTTGTTTTAAAAATTTTGCGAGTCCATTCCAATTTAAAAAATAACACTTTTTTGTTCACGCCAAATGTCTGCCAATCATGATTCAAATATCACGTCGTTGAGCGATCCATGACCCCCGCTGTGTACGAGTGCGAATGACATCTAATACGAGGGTGGTTTGAAAAGTTCTCGGTCCGACCAAGAAAACTACATTTTCTCTCCTTGTCTCGATACAATGGCACTTGACATGCGATTTAATCTTCTTCTTCTTCTATTTTAATGGCTATTTTGTGTTAACCACAATCCTGCCAATTTCACGTAGGAGACCACTACACGGTATAATAGATTAATATAATCAATTTGGAATAGGTAGTAAATAAAGAATCTAGCTGTCGAATGACAACAAATTAGTTTACATACTACCCTCAAATTCGGTCAGGCCGAGAACTTTTCAAACCAACCTCGTACTTTGCATTTTATGCCTTATGATTATTGAAACAAGACTCGCTCTCTATTTTAATGATACATTCGTTCAATGTTGGAATTTATAGGTTTAACGAAGTCACCATGTGACATATTAGTTGAAACTTGCTTAAATTTACGCCCTACAGAAGTAGAATCTTTTATTATTGTTGAAACTTCATTCTTTTTTTTTACAGCAACCAGCTTTGATTCTATAGGAATTTGCATAGAGAATTGCGCGCAATGCAAGAAGATGTTTGGAGCGTGGTTCGAGGGTCCACTATGCGCAGAATCCTGCATCAAGTTCAAAGGAAAACTGATTCCGGAATGTGAGGATTTTGCGTCTATTTCACCTTTCCTGAACAAACTATAAACAAATGGAAATTAGGTAAAAATTGGACTTCGTTGGATATTAAAAATGGATGAATGAATAATTCTATATGAAATATTTAAGAGTAAATTTTAAGGCTTAATTTAAATAATATTTAATTAATATGTTTAAACTATTGCGATTTACTGCCAACTAACGAGACAAAGCTTCTTTAGAATACATACTTGTCATGTGAAACTTTAATAATAATTATCAACAGTTCTAAAATTCTATTAATAGGTATTCATAGAACTGGACTGGACACAGAACGGTCTTATTTACAAATTGTTTGAGCTTTAACGTTTTATACGTAGCCATATATTATTAGTTGTTATTTTTTAAGTATTTCTTATAGGTTCTTATCACAATATGGGACTTAAATTTTTTAATTAGTTATTAATTTCCTATACATAGGTCAATATTACATTCCATCAGTATACTTTATTGTCAAGTTAGTACATTGAGTCTGAATGATATTTTATCACTAATAATAGACAGTACATTTAGTTATTCATAGTACTAGTCGTTGTTTATTTTCTAGCAGTTTACACAATTTTAAGCTTTCAGATTTTAGTTTATCACAGTTGATGAATATCCTGTGCATAATGTGTCGATAGGTCAACAATAAATAACCAACACTTTTGGTAGCAACCAGTATTATTAGTTCTCTTGATATTTGTAACAGATAATGAGTAGTTCAAGTTAATACTGAATTTAGTATACATATTAGGGCCAATGCAACGACTGCTAAGATTACATTAATGGCTTCTTGACGTTATCAATAGTTCAATAGTATTACTTCTTTACTGATATAAGTTTTATTTAAATAATCAGAATACTATAGGCACATTAATGTCCCGTTGTAATAAAACGCCAATATTGTCAATGGTATTCAGTATTTTGAGTTAAAAAAATGTGATATGAAAGGAACAATGTAGCGGGTATTGTCAACTGATATTTTTTTTTATATTATACTGATGAAGATTTTCTTCGCTCGAAAATGTAATAGTAATTAGTTTTAATTACAACGATGCCATGCCAAAGCTTATGATACTCTTAGTTTTAAAATGCATATATTTTAAGCTTTTTTGTACTATTTTTTTATATCTTACAGGGATTTGATGTAAGTTTTTAATTGCAAACAAATATACAATTGAAGATTTCTTAGTTTTTTATTTATTAAAATTTTTAATTTACTTCCTTAATATTATAAATCTACAAAAGTACACCTTTAATATCTTAAAGACTAATGAAAATACTAAATTCAAACATGTCATACTACCTATTTCTTATCGTGATCCGCCTAGACTTTGCATGGAAGCAATAGTCAGTATGTTTCCAACATCTATATATAGTGTAAAACAAAGTCTCTTCTCGCTGTCTGTACGCTGAGATCTTTTAAACTACGCAACGCATTTTAATGCAGTTTCCATCAAATATGTATAATACAAAACCGCTGGCGGAAAGCTAGTCAGTAATAATATTCTTAATTCCATTGATAAAATCCTTAGATACAACATCGCCTTCAATATCGTACATCCAATACTATCATAAAGAAACTTAGTTATGCAAAACACATTCAATTGGAGGTATGGGAAAAAATATTCCCGTTCCTCTTACCATGAGGTATGTTATTCCCACTCTTCCTAAAGATCGGTAGACTGGGAATAACCCATATTTTGATGTCCACTGCTTAACCAAACTTCAAAACAATTTATTAATAAGAAATAAGCATTAAGGAGACGCCTATCTGCGCATTTGTCCACAATTAAAATGACGTACTATTATGATGCATTTAAGCTCTGATCTTACTGATATATATAACGATTTTGTATCTTTTTTTTACCGAAGCATTAATTCAATTTTAATTATAAATAAACCCTTTATATATTGCAGTCTTTAGTGAAAATTAAATAGAAATTCGTTCGATAATTTTTTGAGTTCAGATAAATAGAAATGAAGGGTAGATCTTTTATTTAAAGTGATAGCTTTAGATTTAAACATCCGTATATTCATGTTTTTAAAACTCGCACTTCAGATTTTTACACACCATTCTTGCGTAAGTGGTTAAATAAAATTCTCCAAATCCTCACAGAAATACGTTTCTTACAAAATATGGTTTTTCATTACTTATATATAATTACTAGCGTTGTGAACCGTCCATCAGTTAACTGGCACTTCTATTTGCTGGCTCTCTGGTTCTGTTGCATCTGGGGTCATTTCTACGGGCGGAGGATCTGAAGAAAAAAAATATTAAAAAGAAGTGTCATCAATCTGAAAAATATGATTATACATATAAATTATAAAGAACGGGTATTTCCGTGATTAGAACTAATAAACTTATCCACCAACCTATACTTCCCGACGTTCGACTTAATAAATAGAAGGCGTTTATTTGGCATAAAATACTAAGTCATCCACCCATTTACGTTCCCACTGCAGGGGCTCAGGCCTTCCTTATGGATGGCTAAAGAGGATGGGCCATGACCCTCCACGCTGACCCAATGCGGATCGGAGGGTATTAACGACGTCGGTGGCGTAGTGGATAAGCGCCACGGCCCGCGATCGTTGTCGTTAAGCAACTTTCGCAAGGGTCGGTCACGGGATGGGTGACCAAAAAATTATTACTCGAGCTACTCCGTGCTCCGGAAGGCGCGTTAAGCCTTGGGCCAGCGTGGAGGGTCATGGCCCATCCTCCTTAACCATCCATAAAGAGGGCTGCAGTGGGGACGTAAAAAGGCTGATGATGATGACAATGATGAACCATAATTCAGCCAACACGAAGAATACCATTACACAGACTATTATATAGTACACGAATTGTATTAGTGAGCGAAATATAACACAGATGAAAGTTTTAATTGATTGATCGATCAGACAAATTTGGTTAGGGATTTTGCTATTGAGGCATAATTAATTAAAGGACATAATGACTATTCAGCAGGCGAGGAATATTGGTGGGTAAAATATCGTGATGGGAGCAAGGAATATTTGGGCAATAGGGATGATGACTAATTTTTGTTTGTTTGTCCGTCAGTTAGAGTGTTAAAAAATATTAAACACGTTTTTTTTTATTTTTTTCGTATTCATACGTCACGTTACAGTACGTTTTCTACTCAACTGTGACGTAGCGAGCCCCCACTCCTCAACTTTAATACCTGTTATCTAAGCTATTTCTTGTTAAATTGAAGTAAAAAAATACGTATCTAATATTTTTCTATTATCTGACTGACGGACGGAATTGCATTTTTTTTATCCAGTCATCATCCCTAATCAAAATATATGGTCAGGTGTCCCCTCATCTAGTCCACATTCACGAAGGGAGCTATCCAGAACTTTTAATTTCGCCCGATGAACAGGAATACAAGCACGACCGAGCCGAAGACGGCAAATAATGGAAACTACTTTTTTGGAATACCCTTGAGTACATAAAATGGTCTGCTATTTATTAAGGTTGAAATGTATTTAACATTTTCTGTTATCATTTTCTGTTATTTCTGTTATCCGTTATCTCAGTATATTCAGACCTATAACACGCATAGCTTTTTACGCATAGCATTTCACTACCTACTGATTTTTTTTATTTGTATTAAAATATAATTAATCTACATTCTAATGTAGGATATTTGTAAACTATAAGACTTTATTTACGATATTCTAACTCTAAAGTATTTAAACATACAAACAGACAGACGGAAAAAAATATTTTTTTGGCTTCTATTAGTCTTATGAAGGCCGTCCATATATTTTTTTTTCCAAAATATCTTACAAATGTAACCTTGTTACATTTTTATTATAGGTATAGATAATTACTGTCAAAGGTTACGTCAAAATGATGAAGATAGCAATAATGACGTGTAATTGACGTGTCAAAAAATTAATGCTACGGAAAATCAACCTTGTTGTTAGTTGACGTAACACGCGAAATTCAACCTTAGGGTGGTAGACCACTTTCTTGGCCGACTGTACATGTGATATGATTACGTTAGCGACTTCTTTTTAAAAAAAATATTGTAAGGCAAGCGTTAGACGCAAATATCTTTGAAAGCTATTGAGAAATACCAATCGAAAGAGTCTTATGCTATCTGCAATCGATGGGTTTAGATACGTTCTTATTATTTTTCCAAATCATTCAAATATCATTTGTTCGAAAAGCTACAGCAACTTAGAGTAATATTATTCCATAAATCGCTATATCTATAAAATGTTTAAAGATAGATTTTAAAAGTAAAATTAGCCACTGAAATGCTGTACATTATAGCACCTAGAAAATTTAATATTGGAATTTTTATGATCACTAAAAATTTACCTGCTGTTGTAGATTCTACAGTTGACGTATCAGCTACTGGCTCTGTAGATTCAGATGTGTCCATAGGCGTTTCGGGTATTTCTTCTGGTGGAAGCTGAAACAATATATCAATATACTTTAGTAAGAGCTCAGCTCATTCTACTTCAAAAAGGCTATCTAGCATTTTTTTTAAAAGGAGATTAATATCAAGCCCTGAACGGCTTCATCTGTTGCTAAGAATTGCATCATAAACTAAAAAGTTGTGTAGTTTATAAGATCTCGGATAAAGACAACGGGAAGCAACATTATTTTAGACTATGTATAGATACTTTAAAAATCACCAATATAGATGCCCGAGATGAGACTAACCCATTTACATTATGAACGACTGCTCAAACTAATTGAACTACCTGAAATCTAGCGAGACTGAAGAACTTCTCAAGTATACCATTGTTAATGCAAAATTGATGAAATATAATAATTTAAACTTACCTATCAACAGATTACGGCCTAAAATTGATGGGTGAAATTTTACCTGTTGTATGTTTGATGTAACATTCTGGCACCGAATTTTAAAGTCAATTAATGTTTTCAATGAACACCACATACCTCTGGAGCTTCCCTTGGTATTCTGCCTTCCTTGTGTCTGACATTGAATGGTACACAGCTTTCATAATATTGGATCACAAACTCCGGATAATGTGTGTTCATATCACGACCAAGGACAACGTCTACATCTAAACAACCTTGCCTGAAAATTTAAATAGAATTGAAAGTAATAAGAGTACTACACCTAACAGCACATTATCTTTCAGCCGTTTTCTGTCTTCAGATTCACCATTTACTAGAGCAAGAATGATTTAGTGCTAAATATTGTAATGAAAAGTGAACTTATTAATTCATCTACCCATGGGTTTTGTCCTTACTTCTCTTAAAACTTATGAGTTTATTTCGCTCCTTATTCTTATCAACCAAGAGAGGTTCCGAGTGGTAGGTAAAAAAATGTTAGACAATTCAAAAGCACTTTAAATTAGTTTACTTAAATATAGATATTTAATGTCTTTGAACAGCCATATGGCTAACTTGTTCCACTCCAACAGCGTTTAATGTTATCAAGAAAATCTACAATTATGTCACACTAGCTTGTACAACACGAAAACACATTTTATAGTTGGTTTACTGACTAGTTTCTATGATTAAAACAATTTTTTTGGTTAGTAAGTGTGACTGTTTGAAGTAAAAAGTACATTCTTCATATTTACCATTTCACTAAGAAGTACAATGCACTGTTGAACAGCTGTGCAGCAAGAATCTTCTCTGGTTGCAGTCCTCTGTCAACACCGCGAGGCTTTTCAATTTCCTAAAATGAATTTTGTAAGAATTTTTAAAAATCATATTCGGTTAAAGTAACTTACTTACTTACGTGTTGTGTCACCATTTTCTGACAACTGAAAATATTACTAACTAGCTTTCTGGCAGCGGCTTTGTCCATAAAAACCTTCCTTCTGAATCACCCTATCCATGAAAAAACCGCATCAAAATCCGTTGCATAGTTTTAAAGATTTAAGCATACATAGGGTTATAGGGACAGAGAAAGCGACTTTGTTTTGTACTATGTAGTGATGTACCTAATATGAACAATTATATTTTTTATATTAATTTTATTTCTATTGCTTAAAACATACTGGTCAAAAACTATGTTGGTAATTTCTAATAGTTACCTATGTTTTGTATGACTTCTGCTTAGTATGACACTCTTTTTTAATGTCATGTCATGTCATAACAGATTTCATTGTAATATTATAATAAATTATCAGCTAATCTGTTATTTAAATAAATAAGAGTCTTACTTCAACTTTCTTTTTCCTCCTACCACGTTTCCTAGAAGATAGACTCTCATCTAAGACTTCCAACTGAATTGTGACAGTTGATGTATCCTTTTCTTTTTTCTGACGAGCATCCTCATATGCAGATATCAACTCAGGACAGTCAAGATTGTCTTCTGGCTCCCAAGTATTGTCATCACTATAATAGAATTGTTTATAATCATATTTTATTTTATAATATTACTATGTATTTTTCTGTGACTTTACCCATGTAAACTATATAAGTCATCTATGATATGATCAATTATTGGAGATCAAAAACAAATATCAAGTTCTTCCTCTTTTTATTAACAGTAAAAACAAATGTATTTCTTTTGGCCGATTTTAATTTTACCATAGACCATAACATGATAAAGAAAATGCTAGTTAATCCCAATAACTGTGGAACAATAAGATCTTAAATTTAGTATAATAATAGTAACCAATAAATCAACTAACTTAGAATATCCCTTCCACTTTAACAAGTATTCGACCTTTCCGTTTTTCACTCTGCGATCTAAAATTTTTTCTACAGAGAATTCTTCATGCTTTCCACTAGCATTTCCTGGGCCGGTCAGAGCCGGATGATTGGCCGATATCGGCTGGTAATTCTCTGTAGGTGGTTGAGTTGCTTCATCCATGATTTGCAGACTGGCTGTAAAATTGAGAAGAATTAAGATAAAAGCTTAAAATTCACAATTTTGATATGTGGTACTGTACAAAGACGTGGTCCATCCAGTTTTATAATAACTTTTATGAAAATAAAAAAAATATTAAATTATTATATTAGATCAATTTTGCAGTTACAGTGTTTTATTGGGACACAGTGGATTTTTGCATTTTTCAATAAAATATTTAGTACCGAACAATCTGTAAAACCCAAACAACAAACAAATAAGAAGTAGGGATGTTTAATAAACATCACAGATTAGTAATATGTAGCAATAAACATCGATGTTCAGCTAGAAAACATCGATGTTTTGTCATCGATGTTTTACTTCAATAACATCGGGACATCGATGTTTATGAATTAAATATCAATATATCCTTAGGATCATCTAACGTACTCTAGATGTACTAGCTAGATGATCTCGTTCATCAAGTTCAACAATTTTTCGCTAGATTTCACCGGTTGCACTCGTAACTGAAGTAACCAAACAGATAATTTTTCTTTGCTTGCATTTTCGAAAGAAGTTAAAAATAAATTTGTTGACTGCAGCGCTCTTTGGTACCCTATAATTAACTGATAACGTACTTCAATGACTGCTACGATTTTATAGGTTATTTTGAGAACAAAAATTAATAAGTTACCCTTAAGAAGATTACGATACTAACTGCTTGCTGATTTTGTTTTACATTGAAGGTATAAAGGTTTAAGAATTTTTTTTTCGGTGTCGGGTAGCATGTATGACTGATGGATGACTTATGCTAAACTAACCAAAGTTCGTCTCACAAAAGAAGACCCTCTGATCACAATGTTTTCGCTTTTATTATAAAGGAATAAGAGTTATTCGGTGGAACTTCTTTCGTAAAATTCTAACTAAACTCTTTTTTATTTCATATTTCAAAATAGGGACAATCGATTTTGGATAATCAACGATGTTGAAAGAAAAAAAAAATCAATGTTTTAACATCGAAGTTAACAAATTAATCATCAATGTTAACTCACGGCCTCACGCAAGACCAATGCATTATTTAAATATTATTCAAATATCAAATATTATTATCAATTTAAATTAATCGATATTACATAAAACATCGAAATTTTGATAAAATAAAAACAGAATTTTTGTGTATGTAACATATACATATCTTGAAATACATATTTTACATACACGTTTAGAAAAGTTGGCTTGTTTGACTCTTTATCAATAAAGAAATAGATTAAAAGTTCTTCCTTGTCAAAATTAGTTTTCCTTCAATCAGTTGATATAAAATATTGGAATATGTAATGATTTGTTCGGTTTCTTAATAAATTTCGAAAGATCCACTCTATTTTATTTCTTTGTAAAAAAAGTTTCGATAAATATCGCACAACGATGTTAGGGCTTCCGATGATGTCACCGATGTCAACATCAATGTGTTTCTAATATCCCTAATAAGAAACCGGCAGAAGCTCGTAGAGTACCTATATTGTTCTGTGGGCAGAAGTGATGAAGTACACAATAACTGTACTTTATTAGCAGTGGAGTGGTGAGGATTGTTAGTCCTATCACCAGGATCTCTATTAATTATATCTTGCGCGAACTTTGAAAAAACACAAATTTATATTCTGTACTTCTTTATTAGATACACATTGACACATGACAACTGTTCATAATAAAAAAATGTCTCTAAATGCACTAGTCTAGTCTTTGTTGAATATGTTATTATAAAAAGGAGTTTCTACTACTTCAACACTTTCCCTTGTTCAACACTTCAAGACCTAGCGCGCGACACAATGAATGGAAAGTCTTGCTGGGTAATGCTTTGGTAAATACATCCGCCAATTGATGCGCCGTATCAACCCTCTCCACAGAAACAATACCTTCGGCAACCAACTCCCTCACGTAAAAGTGCCGAATGCGAATGTGTTTGGTCCGTTTGTGGAATTCTGGATTATGGGCAAGGCGCACAGCTGCTTCGTTGTCGACATACAGTACTGGTATTTCGCTCAATACTGTCATCTTCTGCAGTATACGACTAAGCCAAACAAGTTCTCTAGCTGCTTCACTAGATGCTACGAGTTCAGCTTCTGTTGTAGAAATAGCAACTGATGTCTGCCGCTGACTCAACCATGAAATTAATCCACCCGCATAGAGACAGGCTACACCAGTAGTAGATCTTCCTGTATCACTATCTCCTCCGTGATCAGCGTCACTGAAACCTTTTTAAAGCATAAGCAATGTCTGGACGTGTTCCAACCATCAAATATGCGAGAGCACCTACAGATTCTCTGTATGGAAACTTTTCCGTTATATCAGCTTTCCCTGCTTGAGGTGGTTCCTTTTCTATAGGTGTGTTTACGGAATTGCAATCTGCCATTCCGAAACGCTCTAGGACTCGGTTTGCATATGCCTCTTGGCTAATAAAAATAGATCCATCTGAATCTCTAAATATTTGTAGCCCCAAATAATAATTTGCCGGTTTAACAGTAATCTGCAATTTCTTTCTCAGATCTTCCAAAAAAGAGTTAGCCAAGTCCTCATTAGACGCAGCTACTAATCCATCATCGACATACAATGTGATAAGTAACTTTTCACAGTTGACTTGCTTTGTATATAGACAGCAATCAGATTCACACTGTTCAAAGTCCATATCGAGTAGTATTTCTTCAAAATAGGAGTTCCAACACCTTGGAGCTTGTTTTAGGCCATATAAACTTCTATTTAGCTTCCAAACATTTGATGTTCCATCGGTATAGCCATCTGGTTGTTGAACGTATATTTCTTCTAACAACTTGCCATTTAGGAAAGCGGTACATACATCAAATTGAACAAGATGTAAGTTTTCCTGTGCACTTACACTTAATAAAGTTCTAACAGTTGCAAGACGGGCAACAGGACTGAAAGTTTGGTCAAAATCTAAGCCTTTTCTCTGTTTGAAACCCTTCACAACTAGTCTGGCTTTGTATTTATCTATAGTGCCATCCGGATTTCTTTTGATTCGTAGAACCCACTTACAGGGTAAGGCTTTCCTACCCTTGGGCAACATGCAAGACGTCCAAACATTTAAATCCTTCAGTGACTTCATTTCACTGTCCATTGCCATTTTCCACTGTTCGCTGTCATCTTGTTTCATGGCATTAGCGAAACTGGTTGGAAAAATTTCTGTTAGACATATGAAATCATCGAATCTAGCCGGATGTTTCATTTTGCTACGATCACGAAGATTATATCCTGAGGTCATAGGCTCTGCATCATGAAATTCGTCAGTACAATCATTAACGTTATCTTTTAGCATATCTTCGATATCATTAACATTGTCTTCTATCAAGGTTTCTCCCTCAAGACGGTGTTCATGATTGACGTGGTGTTCAACATCAATATTAGATGTTACTGACGCTGAATGATTCAACGGAATGATGTACTCTCGTGTTTCTTCTGATTTCGGGACTTCAGGATTTACTGTTTCATTTATTGGGACCTCATTAAATATGACATCACGAGAACGTAAAACTCTGTGCTTCTTGCCATCAGTGATCCAAATACGATAACAGTCTTCATCATATCCTATAAGCTTGCCCTTAATAGATTTTTTATCTAATTTCTTCCTTATTTGTTTTGGGATGTGGACATAAACCGTACTTCCAATCACTTTCAAGTGTTTAATAATTGGTTTCTTTCCACTCCATAATTCGTACGGAGTCTTGTCAGGAACTCTTGATGGGCCAGTCCGATTAAGAATGTATGCAGCTGTATTAATAAGTTCTGCCCACAACTGTTGCGGCATTTCTCCGTGTGCATACATCAATGCCCTCGCAGTTTCAACAAGAGTTCTGTTTTCCCTTTCGCTTACCCCATTTTGTTCCGGCGTGTACGGTGTGACTAGCCGGTGTTTGATGCCATGTGAATCTAACAATGTCTTCATAGCCTTATTGTCAAACTCTCCGCCATTGTCAGTTAGTAAACACTTCACAGTATGTCCCACTGTTTTTAATTGTGCAAGCATCAAAACTAGCTTATCTTTGACTTCCGACTTATGGCGCATAAAATATACCATACGATAACTGGTGAAGTCATCTTTGAACAAAACGTAGTACTGATATTTGGAAAAACTTGGTACAAACGGTCCACAGACGTCAGCATGAACTAATTCTCCAGGCGCGGTAGCTCGAGTTCTAGTTCCAAATTTTAATCTATGAGCTTTTCCATAGGCGCAGCCCTCGCAAGTTTCGTTATCCAATGGGAGATCTAGGCCCAGTTCTCGTTTGATGGTGGCTTTCACGTGCCTCTTGTTCTGATGACCTAGCCTTTCGTGGTAGACTTGCATGGTGGCTGTTGTCGTATTTACTTCAGATACAATAGGTGGAATAACTTCAATGTCTAATCGATAGAGACCACCTTGTTTCTGACGTTTTCCTACTAGCGTCACTTCTCCGTTGACATTGGCTATACATTCCTCTGTCCTTGATGAGAATAAGCTATTTGGAACTTTATCATGAAACGAAAGAACGGAAAACAAGTTTTTCGTTATCGCCGGAACGTACCAAACTTCTTGTAGAGTGACGCGTTGTCGTCTCCCTCTTACAATTGCGTCGATTATCACTGTCCCTTTACCTTCGGCACGAATCGTATTACCGTTAGCAGTCTTGACAGTATGAGCATCGACAAACTTCTCGTAGTTCCGAAGTATATCGCCTCTATTGGTGACGTGACTTGTTGCGCCGCTGTCTACGTACCAATTTTCAGTGTCGTGTTCTGTAGAAAATAACTCTGTGTTTTCAATGGATAGTAAAACTATGTTCGCACTATTAGAAGTAGAGGGTGTCAATAAATTGCAACTCTTCGGAGGCTTGCCATCTCGAATCCACTTCTGACAATTCCTTACGCGATGACCGATAGCCTTGCAGTAATTGCATTTTATCTTCTTGTCTCTCTTCTCTGTTGATGTAGAGCTTGAACTCGTTGCAAGAGCTTCTTGCTGCTGGAGTATGACGGCGTTATTACTCAGCAGTGCCCGCTCAAATGCACATAAATGGTTGGTCAGATTTTCGATGGTTCGATCTACTTTTGGTAATAATAGCCAACTGCTTCGGAATGAAAAGAAAGATTCACCTAACGTATCGAGAATCTTGCATATAAGAAGTAACTCTGGTAGTTCTTTGCTATTATCTTTTGCAAGTTCTTGATTTAGTTGTGTCCAAATATTTTTCAATTTTGACATGTGAGTCGCTATATCATCCGATTGATCCTTTTTAAAACTAAAAAGACTCATACATAGATTATAGG